GAATCTTCTATTCGATGATGTGCTTTGAGAAAACGAGATTTCGATCACTTCTTCAACCCTCTAGACTCTCCAAAAATGTCTGAAGAAGTTCTATTTTCCGCTCCTTAGTGTTAGGGTTATTAATCTCCTCTTATTCAAGTGATTAACCCTAGATCCAGACTTTAAAATTAAATCCGAAACCCAGACCGAACGGACTGCTTAGTAGTCCGTTCGGTCTGGACACTTGGTCCGTTCGAACCAGTCTTACAACTTGGTCCGTTCGGTCCGACGGTTCAGTCCGTTCGGTCCAACACTTGGTCCGTTCGGACTGGACTCTCTAGTCCATTCGGTCCAATAATTTGGTCCGTTCGGACTAGATGCTCCGGTCCATATCCACACCTCGGGATGGATTCCAACCTTTGGAACTTGTCTGCTAGGACTCGAATCTTCTATTCGATGATGTGCTTTGAGAAAACGAGATTTCGATCACTTCTTCAACCCTCTAGACTCTCCAAAAATGTCTGAAGAAGTTCTATTTTCCGCTCCTTAGTGTTAGGGTTATTAATCTCCTCTTATTCAAGTGATTAACCCTAGATCCAGACTTTAAAATTAAATCCGAAACCCAGACCGAACGGACTGCTTAGTAGTCCGTTCGGTCTGGACACTTGGTCCGTTCGAACCAGTCTTACAACTTGGTCCGTTCGGTCCGACGGTTCAGTCCGTTCGGTCCAACACTTGGTCCGTTCGGACTGGACTCTCTAGTCCATTCGGTCCAATAATTTGGTCCGTTCGGACTAGATGCTCCGGTCCATTCGGTCTACTCCTAGACCGGACGGTCCAGACCTCTGTCCAGATTTCTCGACGTTTTCTCGTGCATTTGTCCTTCCCTGCGTGTGTGACCCTGTAGGCTCATTCGATATAGCAGTATAACCCGAAATCTCTATTCCGGATATACAAGTCATAGGCGGTCTCTAGCAAGACACTATGACTACCTATCTCGAATAGAGTTTGTTCGTGATCTTACGAACGCCAGTGATGATTCCGGTTGATGATCTTTTTGTATCACGATATCATATGTCGAATATAAGGCATGGACTCTCATTCACTGAGTTCGACTGTCTGAAATAGACGACGTTTGTCTATAGTGCGGCCACACACATTTCTACAGTCTCGCTTATACGAGGGGCCCAGCGATATCTCTCTCTTTTACGAGAGGTACAAATCCCGTCTTGACTATCTACAATCCAACACATGATTCGTTTCGTACCTGATACACGCCTTTATAGTCCTCCTGTTACGCAGGACGTTTGACGTAATCAAAGCACGCAACTCCTCATGTTGGATTCCGTAGATATCTCAGGTCTTAGGATCCAATCATGGAACCGTCATATGAGATTCAAGTAATGACGCTAGTCCATGTGACAATCTCATGCGGGTCAATCCAGTATTCCGTTCTCCAACGAATACCTATGACTGTGATCGTATCCAATATCTATGACCATCTATATGATCATCAATCACACAACATACTAGTCTTATTATGTCATCATTCCCATAATGACACAAGACTAGGAGTTTAGTATCATTCATAATGATACATGGATTTCATAACACATCTAGTATACAAGAACATGTAATGAATCAAATATTCTCATAAAACCTGTGGAAAGTATCAATACATCTAATGTATCTGAATAAAGCTCATAAACAATACATCATAGAGCATAAACCAACAACTTGGTCACATGGTTCACGAGTCATTAGGAAAATCAGTCACATGGGTGACAATAGGAACAAAGTCACAATAGTCACAAGGTTGCACGGTCACAAGGTCTCAAGGTCACATGGTTACATGGTCACATGGTCATATGGTCATATGGTCACATAGTCACATGGTCATATGGTCACATGGTTACATGGTCACAAGGTCACAAGGTGACATGGTCACATAGTCACATGCTTCAAAATGGTCAGATTGGTAATAATAGTCACATGGTCACATAGTCACATGACCACATAGTCACAATGTTCAGAATGGTCGAATTGATCTTCGTTTTGTAACTCTGTTTTCCAGTGGTATAATGGATGGGCGAGACGAGAGGTCAAAAATTATATATTTTCTATATGGCGGTGGTTGGATACAGAATAAGAATGGGAAATATGAATGGGAAGGAAGGGTTATGGAAAGCCAAAGATTGTTATTCTTTTGTCCCCCCTTGGAGATGACCTACAGTGAACTTGTTCGAGAGTTATGTTCGGAGATGAAGGTGGATAAAGATAAAGTAGAGATCAAGCTGAGCTATTTACCAAATGTAAAAGAAAACAGAAAGCACACCTACCTATGGAATGACAAGCATGTTCATATTTATCTACTGGATAAAATAAATGGAATGTGAGGCATGCTTTATGTGGAGATAGATGAGGTACGGTTGAAAGGTGAATGTGAACAAAATGTTGAAGAAGAACCTATAATTCTTGCTGGTGAAAGTGGTGTTGGAGGTAGTAGAAAGCGAGATGGGATAGATTATGATGATTGTGTTATGTTGAGCCCTAATTTTAAGAGTAGAGTTGGGAGTAATAATGTGGCAGAAGTTATACATATTTCTGACAGTGAACATTCTAGTGGTCTTAGGGATGTTATTGTGACTAAATGTGATGGTGATCGTGATGATGGTGGTGATGATTTGGCCCTTGAGGTAGTAGCAGACTCTCGGTTTTCGAATTCTGTATTCAGTTTCAGTGATGGATTAAATATCACAATTGGCCATGAGTTTGACAATAAGGAAGCATCACAAGAATTTGTTCACAAGGGTGCAACTATGGGTCGTTTTCGTTACACTACACTGAAGTCCGATAAAAAGTTGTGGGAAATAAGATGCAAATTTGCTGAATCGGGCTGTAATTGGAAGTTGCGGACGACATTGATTTTAAACTCGGAGCGTTGGAGTGTAAGAAAACACAATCCCATGCATAGCTGCAAACCCGTATCTGAAACAAGTGAAGCTTTGAGGGGTACAAAGAAATTGGTTCGGGTTTATTTGAAAGAAGAATTCCCCGGTAAACTTGATAGTACGCCTTCAGCACATAAAATTGTAGATAGGATAAAAGCCAAGTACGGTACAACCGTAACATATTTGACGGCATTACGAGGCAAACACAAAGTTGAAAGTGAGATTCGAGGTGATCCTGCAGAGCATTTCAGAAAGCTTCCTAGGTGGTTGCATATGTTGCAAAAGAGAAATCCTGGAACAATTGTCGGTCTTGAGTTGGACAAAGATGGCAAAAGTTTCAAATATCTCTTCTTCGCATTGGGTGCAGCGGTAAGAGGATGGAATTACATGCGTAAAGTGGTTGCGATTGATGCAACATTTCTCACAGGACAATACAAGGGTACATTGATCGTTGCAACAGTACAAGACGGTGACCACCACCTATATCCGTTAGCCTGGGGTGTTATTGACAGAGAAAAAGATGGAGGTGGTTTACGAAAATGTTAATAAAGGCAATCCCAGATGGACCTGATGTTGTCGTGATTTCTGATCGATATAGGAATATAATAAAGGCCGTCAGCGAAGTGTACAAAGAGGCAGGGCACGGATTTTGTGCAAGACATATAGCGCAAAATTTGAAAGTCAAGGTTAACAGAGGCATGGGAAGGAAAAGTTCGAGAGGTGAGACCGTTGCCGAACGGGTCTTCAGATGCGCGGAAGCTTATACGTTGAACGAATTTGAAGACATGTTTACTGATATGAAGGACAGGTACGAGGTTTTTTTAACCATTATTACCTAACCTAAAATTTTGATTATTTTGAAACATGTGACCGTGTGACCATGTCACCATGTGACCATGTGACCATCGTCAATGTCACCATGTGACCATGTGACCATCGTCAATGTCACCATGTGATCATCGTCAATGTGACCATGTGACCATGTGACTATTTGTATATTGTGGTCATGTGACCATTGCTTATTCTGAACCATGTGACCATGTGACCATGTGACCATTGCGTAGGTATCCCAAAGTTGCGGAGTATATGCAGAAAGAAGAACTTGATCCCGAGAAATGGGTGAGGTGTAAATTTAAGCGTGAAAGGTACAATTTATTGACAACAAATGCTGCGGAATCAATAAATTCTGTAATGAAAAAGGCAAAAAGATTTCCGGTGCTGGGCCTTCTGGATATGTGTGTCTCCAAAACCGTGGAATGGTTCGATAGATATAGAGTGGAAGAAGGATGTGCCGATGATTCAAAAAAAATGACACCGCATGTTGACAAAGTGTTGCATGAGAGGTATGAAACTGCATGTACGTATGATGAAGTCATTGTGCTAAACACTGTTACAGAGGAGTTTGAAGTGACGGGTGAAAAGGGTAGAAAACACTTTGTTAGCATTGAAGATAGAACGTGCAGCTGTAGGGTGTTTGATATCGATAAGATCCCATGCAGCCATGCAATTGCAGCGCTTCATAAGATTGGTAAAGCGAATGTTATACCAAACTTGTGTTCTCCATACTATACGCGGGAGACATGGCGTCTTGCCTATCAAGAAACCGTGTATCCGGTTCCCGATTGCTGTGAATAGATTATCGATGACCCGGATGTTGCAAATCTTGTGGTTATGCCTCCTATAATGGATGAGAAACGACCATGTGAGAGACCTAAACAAAATCGGTATCCTGCTCCTAGTGAAGCACGGAAGAGAATCAAATGTGTAGCGGGAACATCAACATCGGCAATGTCAGAGAGAACGACTATTTTGGAGTGAAAAACATTGACAATGTCAAAAATCTGTATAATAATTATGTGGTTTATTGGTATTATGAGGTGTTATAAAACATTTGTACAATAATGTCAAAGAACTTTGGTTAATGATGTTGTAATATGTTTGTATAATGTAATGATATATAATCTTGTGTTTGTATAATGTAATGATATATAATATTGTGTTTGTGATCGAGTGTAATGATATATATATCTAGTTTAATTTAGACACTATGAATTGACTCACGTGAGACAACGTTGTGATCCATTGTGACCGGCATGTGACCATGTGACCGAAGTGCAATTTTGCACTGTGTGACCATTGTGACCGACTGTGACCCGTGATCGAAATGTGTTGATAAATATAGGCCAAACTTGAATTTTAAAGCTTAAGAATGGTTTATCAGAGTGTATATATCAAATATATAGTGTTAGAGGCAAAATTTAATTTTATGTAAATCGGTTTGTAGAAGAAATATATCAATTTTGCCAAAATTACTCATAAAACAATATGAACCATAATGGAACACATTTGGAATATCAACTTTGAAACCAAAAAAATCACAAAACCCATGTTTTATTGTTCAAAACAATATAAAATAGGATTATGAGGGATGTGTGACGTTGTGGACTGATTAAATTGACAAAAATCACATGGATCGAAGGTTGTGACCGATTGTGATCGAATGTGACCCATTGTGATCGAAATATATTGTGGGACCCATGCGAAGAAATAGTCAGAATTCGCCAGATTTTTTGTGTTTTGTGGGTCCTAGTTTGAATATTCAACCCTATATTTATTTTCCCTCCCAAATTTTAACCCTAAAATTTTTTCCTCCCAAATTTTAACCCCCAAATTTTTTCCTCCCAAATTTTAACTCTATATTATATTTTTCCCTCCCAAATTTTAACCCTCAAATTTTTTTCTCCCAAATTTTAACCCTATATTTTTTTTTCTCTCAAATTTTAACCCCAAAATTTCATCTATTAAATTTAAACCCATAATTTTCTAAAAAAACATTAAGAATCCGAGATTTTTTTCCAACTTAATACAAAGAAACAAAAATACTAATAAAAAAGATAATGTCAAACAAACAAAAGTAGTCTTAAAAAGGGTTCAAAATAACATAAACGTAAAAAAGGTTTAGGGATCGTTCACTCTCTCTTCTTCCTAAACCTCCGAGGCTTGCCATTAGAGAATATTGCTGCTGCTAGATGTTCACGGATCAGCGTGACATTATCATTGCATATCAACGGTAATAGCATCCGCTCTTTGGCAAGGCAAATGGCTTCGATGTACTTCACTGCGAAAACCCCGCATTCTTCCCCATTGTTTTGGGGTACGTTTTGCATATACTTAATGTCCAATACATCTCCATCAGCGAAAGCTTCCGACCCAGCGAGGCAACACAACTTCGGAATGACATGACAGAGTTTTTGAACTGTCTCTTTCGCTTTTTCATGCAGTCTGGCTTGGCAATCGTAGATTTCCAGAGTTTTCTCATTGAAATCCACTTTAATGGCAATCCAATTGTAGCTGATTTCATCGTTGCCAAATCCGAGAACATTAAGCACACTCACGAATCCCTCGTAGCTGATCAACGGTGTCCCTGCACAGCCAATAGGAAGCCTTCCGTTGAAGTATGGCTGTAGATCGTCCAAAGTTGTCATATCTCCCGATTCGGCCCATGTATTGATTAACTCTACAAACATGGTGTCACACACCAAGTAATTGCATCCAATGAAGGTCACGGGATTCTTTATAATGCGGGTTCGGAGTTCGTACATCGCCTCATCCATGTGCTACAGAATAAAACAATACATGTTAGTAAATACAATCAACATTAAATCTTGAGATTCTGTGACCATGTGACCTTGTGACTGTGGGATCGTGATCGTGTGACCAAGTGACTCTGTGATTGTGTGACTGTGTGATTGTGATTGTGTGACCGAGTACACTTACAGTTTCTGTGAGCCATAGTCCGACTTCCAAAAGCGTCTCCCAAAAACTTGGTTCCCGCTCGACATTCAGCCCTGACTTCCACAACCTTTTTTCTTCTGGCTTCTTCATAAATTCCCAAAGAGCTGAAGCCCTTGGTCCATCGCATTCAACAAAATATTGATTCCGGATAAGGAACTTACCACTACTGTGAATGCGCTCAGGATTCCACACATACTCCTTTTCTCCAACAGTCTCTTTCTCGGTTGAATCCTCAGCGACCTCAGCAACTTTAACATCCTTTTGGCTCGTATTGATGGTGACTCTACCTTTTCCTCTGCCCCGGTATGCATGGGATCGGGTTCTTTTTGCAGGGGGCCACTTGATATTGGATCGACATAGGGACTTCTCTTGGTCGGACCATCAGCGACTTTTCTTTTACTCCTTTTCAATGGTGTTGGGGGGATAACTTCTGCTTCAGGTTACGTGACTACCTCTTCGTTAGGTTTGTCAGACATTACATTATCCTCATTGGCTTTATCATCATCTGATGCATCATCTTTATCATCATCTTTATCATCATCTTCTTCATCTTCTTCATCATCTTTATCATCATCTTCTTCATCATCCCCATCATCATCTTCAGAATTGTCACCGTCGTCATTATCATCGTCACCTTCAGAATCTTGACCTTGAGAATCGTGACCTTCATCCTTATCATCATCACCTTCAGACTTGTTATCACCTTTATCATTATCACCATCACCTAAACAAAAAATGGTGAATACAATTAAATTAAATTCTGTGACCATGTGACCTAATTACATTGTGACCGAAACTTTATTCCAGTACTTACTTCCTACTTGTACAGTAATGGTAGCCACAATTGTGTCAAGTCCCGAACACCCTTCTCCTTTATGTGCATTCTTGAGCGAGGCAACCATAGGAGTCCCATCTCGAGACTGCAATATAAAGTCTTCTTCCTCTCCCTTATCGTAATATTCATCAGTCCCAACAGAATCTATCGGACTTGTCAGTTTTGCTTCTTCATACTCTGGTTCTTTGAATGTTGGGCTCATCCTCACATTGCCCAGATCTATCGGATTGTCATCAACCCTTCTGTGTGTCGGGGACTTGTCCTCAAAATTACGGGCTCTGTTGAATTCTCCGTAACTTGATCAGAAAGGAGCCCAGCGTCCTTGAAAAGCCGTCGAACTATATCTCCAATAGAATCGATGACTCGGCTCTCAGACGCTTTTATTTCCAGCTGTATATATTCCTTAAGTGCTTCAATATGTGACAGCCCCGTTACTCCTTGACGAAAAGCCCTCTGTTGTTGTTGTTGTTGTTGTTGTTGTTGTTGTTGTTGTTGTCGTTGCTGATGCTCTCGTTCTTGTACTTCTTATTCTTCATCTTCTTTCTCATCTACTTCCTCTGAATCATCGTCTATCAATACTTTGCGCTTACCCTTCCTTTTCTCTCCAATGACTTTCTGCAATGCAGCTCTGCATCGCGACTCTTCTTCCAACATATGCTTTCTGGGTTCCTTTTCAGATGTTGCATCCAAAATTGAACCTTTGCATCTGTACTCCCTTCATACCCTTCCAAATAAAAAAGAAGTGCTTCTTCACCGCTTTCTATCTGTAGTATGCTTTTAATACCCTGAAAACAAATGTGATTCAATGTTACTATAAGTATTCATTCTGAATCATGTGACCACGTGATTATGTGACCATATGACAATATGACCATGTGACCATGTGACAATATGACCATGTGACCATGTTATCATGTGACCATGTGACCATGTGACCATGTGACCATGTGACTATGTGACTATGTGACTATGTGACCATGTGACCAGTGACCATAAAACATAGTCACCGTGTGATCATCGCCAATGGTGCCATGTGACTATGTGACTATCTGATTATGTGACCACGTGATTATTGTATATTGTGATTTAGGCGTACCTCTGATTTCTTTCCAATTTTTTTTATGACATTACCAAAGGTCCAGCGAACGTTTGCTTTCACGGACTTCTTGCACATCCTAGGACACCCCGGATCTGTTTCTTCAACATCTTTATACCACCCATTGCAATCCAAGCCAGATATACATTCGAATGGAAGCAACAACAAAATATTGTTTAAACATTATCACACAACAAACAAACCTCAAATCATAGTAACATATATAATGGAAACTCTAAATTAATCCATTAAACAAAAAATAATTACCATAAGGGGTATTATAAATCCCCGACAGTGCCATTTTCCTTTCGGAGTTCCACTCGAGAAACTTTTTCGTATCTGATCATTGATCTTTTCAAATGTATATCGTCCCCACGGAAACCTTTCACAGAACTCCAAATCATTCTCCATGTCCACCAAAACATTGTTGATACTATCTTCTGTGGTGCCATGGTCCAGAATTCCTCCGAGTATCATCACGATGGCCAATTTCTTCCGATCAGCAACC